GCCTTGCCCAGCCGACACCGCACAGGAGGGCTCCACCCGCGGCGTCACAGCAGTCCTCGCGGTGCTGTTGTAGTGATTCCCCGTGTGCTTTTCGTCCCGGCGCAGTGACCCCCCCCCCCCTCTCTTCACTTTAGTAAGCTCAACAAGGGCAGTATATGTGTCTCTTTTAGATCGGGAGAGCTATTCCCCTGGCATCCTCTTTGATGGGCAATTTTAAGCTTTCGCCGTTTGAGGAGCACACCAGAAGACTATTTAGTTGATGTTGATATTCAACCAAATAAGGGTCGTACGAAACAAAATTTTGTTCCTAAACCGACTATGGTTGAATCCTTTATTCCTCTCATTTTAAACTAAATGTGGTCGGAACAATATTTTTGCAAAGGGGTGGAAAAGTAAAATTTAGGCCCCATGGAACGCTCTAACGCCCCTCCCCCGCAATCCACACCCACGACCCGCGACGACACTCTGCGATGTCCGCTCTGAAACACCTGCGGTGCGGTCGGGGTTTCGGTCTCGGGCACGACGACGTGAGCCCAGCCATAGCTTCATTTGGGCCCCAACATGGGCCCCAACATGGGTCTAGACATGGGTCCAGACATGAGCCGCGGTGCGTGTCGTGTCCGCGAGACATGAGCCCCGAGTTCAGAGCCCAATGCCCAATGGACGGAACGCCGCACGTACCGACCGGGACCGGGGCTCAAGTTGGGAGGCAAGTGATCTGGGCTCATGTCCTTATGCCACCCGACCGCAAAAGGCAGGAGCGTTCTAAGGTGAGGGGGGGGGGGGCGATCGGCTCTCGCGAGCCCCCTGAAAGATAGGCAATTTGTGCCACGTAACCCATGGAAGCGGGCAACCCACAGTGCACCGCCCCCTCAGCCGGACCTTTAGACCGAGCCTGCCGAAAGGTAAGTTTCAACTTGACTTCAAATGGCTCCAGCGGCAGTCAAGCGAAAACGGAGACGTCATTCCGATGTACAGTGAATAGAGTCGTACCAATGTCGCACCGATGCCGAGTCCACATTACTTCCGCCATTAATTGGCGACGGCGTGCGTGCAGGGAGCAACGCTACCCCCACCCGCCCTGCCATGCCCCTCCCCCTCCCCCTTCTGCCAGAGGATGCACATGGCCACGTGGTGGCGGTGGTGGCTCCGGGGAAAGGGGGCAGGGGGAAGGGTTCTACGCACCTACAGGCGCTTTGCCATTTCTTGGTCGTCCCCTCGGCTCCGGCTGGCAAAGGGCCGGAGGGGGGAGGAGGGAGGGGGGGGGCGGACAGGACCCCTATCGGTCGGACATCGATTCCCCAATTAATGCTGCGCTAAGGCGATGCCTGTATAATGCATGTCGGCACTTCCCGTCGGCCACTCACCTGTCTGCCCCTTTCCCAGCGTGCGCTCCAGCCGGTAAGGGCCCACGTACTGGACGTGCTCCGCCGCGTTGGCCTGGCCCGGGCCGTGGGTCTGGCCGGGCCCGGCGCCCTCCTTGTTCTGCATTCTGCTGGCCCGGGTCGGGCCCGGGGCCCTCGGCGTGCTCAGGTCCTAGCGCCGCCGCTGCTGCCGCCGCCGCTGTCTCTTGACGGGCGCGCGCTGCGCGGGCGGGCCTGCTGCCCCCGGGCCTGCTGGGCCTCGCGGGCCCCGCGCCGTGGGGGCCGCTCCCGCAGGGGCCGCTCCAGGCAGGTCCTCATATCACTCGCACCACGCACCACGCCGGCCGCACATCACTTCCCCACCCCTCAGTCCCAGCAGGCCGCCAGGGCCGACGGGGCCGACCGCCGAGCGCTCGCTCGCACCGTGGCCAAGGCCCCCGTGAACGCGCCACGACGGGCTACCGCCCCAAACGCGCCGCCGACATCGTGGGAAAGGCTCGTGGAACGGGCTGAGCGCGAAGCGCAGGCTGAACTGAGGGCCCATGCCTGATAGCCCAACGGGGAGGGTGAGCCGAGGGGCGCGCGCCTGCGCGCTGTGGCGCACCCCTCACCTGAGCCGCCCTCGGCCCGCCTCGGCCTCCCCGAACGCGAGCCGAACGCAGCACCGCAGCGCCGCAGCCACCCCTCGAGCAGCCTCGCGCGCCCTCTCCCGCTGGCGCGGGCTGGGCTGGCGCCACCACCCCCTTACTGTCAATATTTCCCTTCTTCCGCCTTCCCTCTGTTTCAGCCTGCCTGTCGCGCGGCGCGGCCCCTGCCCCTCCCCACCCTCTTGCTCTCCAGCTCCAGGGCTGTGCCGGGCTGGGCCTGAGTAGTGTGCAGTGGGTAGTGCAGGCGGCATATGGCCATTCATGGCCAGTGGAGTGGCGCTGACACGTGTCACCTGTCACTACACGTGCAAAGTGCTGCAAATGTGAATCAGCCAGGTGTGCTTGTGCTTGGTTCCAATCAGGGCAATCATTAAAGGAGTACTTCAAGTTCACACAAAACAATATCTTTATTTATTATTGGGCAAAGGTGCCACCGTTGTCCAACAAACACAACATCAAAATTTCAAATTAAACCAAAAACAAAACAAAATATCACAAAATAGAGGCAAACATAACCCACATGACCTTTACAGGTGGTAAACAAATACATGAGGTGGCTGGGGTGGAACAGCGAGGCATCTCTTTTATAAACATACCTCTAAAGAAGGTTTAACTTATATGGTAGTTAGGAAGAACGAGGGATAATGAACATATTGGGATGTTGCACTGACTAGTAAGAAAAACTTATTATAAAGAAGGTGGCTCTCAGATTATACTGTTTTCCTCCCTATTCTTTCATTAGTTTTTAAGTACTTTTAATGTGATGCTCAATTTGTACCTGCTGATACCTAAGTGTAGCATCCAGGAGCCCATCTAAATGTTATTCCAAAGTTTGTTAGGCTCTGGGAGAGCACTCCCATCAGAGAGATATTGTAGTTACTTCAGGACACTTTCAGTAGTAGTGCAATAACACAGACTATTGGGAGTGGGGAGCAATATCATTAAGTTTAATAAATTATTTTTAGGGGTTTGTAATCTGTGGGCAGCATGAATACAACTGGCTCAACTGATCTTGATCCCATGGTCTCTTATCTTTTTTATCTATCTAGTCTTTATGATAGAGATCTGAAATTCATAAAATCAAATTCTAAGCATAAACAGTCTTATTTTTTTTATTTTTTTTTGAAGAGAGCGAGAAAGTATGCCACCTTCACAGGGGAGACCTTTTAACCAATAAAAATACTGAACCTGATGGGATTTACCTAAACCATGGATGCTGCTCATATATTACAAGGCCATTCCAGTACTGTACTTCCAAACCAATTCAATTTTTGCCGTTTTTCTTTTTTTGCATTTTTTTATAGTTTTTAAAATGATCACAAACACAGAAAAAGGGGAGCTATTATCACAAGAATTTACTTGAGATAACAGTTTTAAAAGTATTTGATAAAACAGACTTATGCAACAGGGAAGTAGTTTCAGTCAAATTTCTCATAAAACCCAAACTCATAACAAAGTGCGCAATATGAAGAGAAATCTCTATTGGATTAGCAGCAACTTGTGTGTTTTGTCCACTTGAGGCAATGCTCTTGCGTTGCAGTCAATCAAGATAAAATTTAGTTACTTTAACTTTAAGCATTTTTCTTTAAGCATTACAATTGAATCAATTAAAAATGTAATTCTACTATTAACATAACATGAAACTGTTGATCGACTAATGACTGACTATTGCGCATGTCAGCCAACAGCCAATTGACAATTGCAGGTCACTATGATAAGTGCTTTCAACAGCATCTACTTTCAGACAGAATTTCTCACAAATTTTGGCAGAAATGGGAGAGATGCTGAAACAAAACCAATTATGAAAAATTAAAGAAAAGGTCAATCAAGTTGCTGCTTGCTTTAAAAATATTAGAAAATTAAACTGTGGTTTACAGGTAAGGAGCAATTTACTGCTCAATTGGATGCCAAGACCATCTACATAAAAAGCAAGACCTAGTTTCAATAAAAATTACTACCACTAAACATCCAAGTTTTAGGGCTCAATGTAAAATTAAACCCTTACAGAAATGGACGACAGAGAGGAAGATACAATTTTATTTGGAGCCAGCAGGTGGCCTACTTTTGACGCCAACTATGTTAGCTTAAATCACAAAATGGTTCCAAAATAAAATTAGCAAAACAAAACATGAGGACATCCCACTAAACTCGTGAAAGTGTTGAAGGGACATCATGTGACTGAATTGTTCACAAAATAGTCAACATTTCAGCTAAATCCTCGTCATTTGAAGTTAACATGACATTAATGACCAATGTGAGACCATTACATGTTTACTAAGATTCTAGATAAGAAAACAAATCAAATACAGAAAACAGAATAAGTTAGGGGATAGAACTACTACACAGTTCTGTATGCATGTTCATCCTCAAAAATGAAAAAAACTACTTCACTAGGTTTTCTTTTAAACAAACCAAGAAAACATCAACAAAAAAAGCCGATTAAATGGTAAAGGACAATTCCAGTTTACTAATCTGTTCACAGATAAATGCACCCAAATCTAGAACATCCTTCAGAACTAATGAAGAAAAATTAAGAAGCCTTCCTATCATAGATGTCAATTATTCATTGAAACTCAAATATCTAAAACTTAAAAAAAAAATTACCATTCAACCTGAAAAAATACTGGCATTAAATTACAAAGAGAGGAAAAATACTCAACTAAGACTGGTAATGGTAACGATCAGTAGAAAAATACTAGTTTAGAAGACAATCAAATTGTATGATAACATGGATCCATTAGGTTAAGGGAAGAAATATTCAATCATGTGTTGAAATTGTAAACTGTCATCAGAAATATGATTGATAGTAACTAGTTTGGCATATGAGACCTTTCATTTTTGTACTGGCACGCACACCAGTAATCATTAGATTAGTTCACACAATCAAGATAAATATTTTTTAAAATGTAACATATTACGATGATTAAAAACACAACACAACAGTCAACAAACACAAAAAAAAGATAAGCTCCAATTCTCAAGAAATCATGCAGGGATCATGAACCTGTTTAAGATTTTCAAACAATATCACAGAAAATATTAGAAATGATTATCATTAAGAAAGAGAACTGTACTGATAACACTGAACATGAGAGCAATAATTTCGTTTGAGCTTAAACAGCTGCACCCAATTTTAAATGCAAGGCGACAAAGAAAGCAGATAATACTTAACAATGCTAACTTGCTAGATCACACCGACCATTGGTATAAATCACAGGATGTGAAACAACTGCTCACTTTTGGCAAGTTGCACATGATCACCTCGCTAGATCACTGGAACATCATCACAGACATGATTCCAGAAAAGCCTAGACAGAAATTATCTGCCTTAAGTACAGTTTCCGAAATAAGAAATAGGGTAGATAAAATCTTACCATTTTTGACACTAAAAGGATTCAAACTTTAACAACAATCATTGACACTCATTAGTTACCCACAACATGTGAATAGAACAAACTGAAATAATTACCTCATACATCAAACTCAGAATTTTTTCCATTCCTGATGTGCAGCATTAAAGTGGTCTAAGGCAATAGTAAAGATAAAAGTTTTTGTATGATAAAATACAATCCTTCAATAAAACAGCATACAGTAAATAACTTGTATGATAAGCAGAAATCTATCAAGTGTAGTGATATGCTCCAGGCTTGGATCAAAGTACCATTCTATGATACCCCACATGTCTTACTCACACAGGCAAGTGGGGATTCATTACTGGTATCACAATATCATCCATATTAGGTAACACCAATACTTTCTGGAAAAATAAACGGAGCACACATGTTAAGGTCATCTAACAATTTTCTACTCTGCTTCCCTACCTTTCTATTATAACAAAAGCAATCCACCTTACCTGGAATTCCTGACACAACTTTTGCTCAATCCAATTTGATATATGATAAAAATTAACTTGACGTTCACCAAGAGTTGGGTGTGCAGACAACCACAACTTGGGGTTGCCATGAAATCCATACCTATCAAGTAAAAAACATATTAATATTAAAATAATTGACATGTCAGTGTCTAAGGTTAATTAATAAAACAGGTTTAACAATAGAGACCAGAGCCTATCCGATGGTGGAGGAGGAATATTGACAGCTAGCGTTCCAACTAGGCCCTTCAGCTCAACTGACAACATTATACGAGTATTTGAAACACCTTCCATGGCCTTCTTAATGTACTTCATTTCAGTTGCTTGTTGGAAGTACTTTGATGCAGCAATTTTATCCACCATACGCAGCAGTTTTTTTCCTGCTCTCTTACTGGAGGTACTTGTAGATGGACGTTGAGTTCTAAAGAAAGATGTTTTGATTGAGTTAAAAAATTCTATCCTAACATATTAATCATTCTTTAATGAACTGCTGTATCAAAAAAACAATGCGCTTACCCATCCTCTGTATTAATACTACTTGTATCATCATCAGATGACGATTCAGCAGAGTCATCCAAATCACTATCAAAAGCAGGAGATTTGCTGCAGAAAAGAATAAAATCAAATGTTGAGAAAGCATTTGTTGGATGAGCACTATCTGGTGCTGACAGTAAAATACAATAACTAGGTTCACATCATTCAATTAACAAAACATACCTTGTCAACATATCTGGAACAGAAGCTGGATACACTTCGGGTAGAGGAATACTGGCTGAAGGAATAGCAACAGAAATGTCGTCAGGAGTACTACGCTTTAGTTTCATAAGATTGAGTTTTGATTCAATTGTCATTCTGAAGTTGCCCTGATATGTCATATCTAACTCAACCCACAAACCACGAACATCCAGGGATGGCTGAGAAGCACGGTGAAACACTGGTACTGTGTTTCCCAAGTCTAGTTCTGTGATAGTAAGTGCTTCCATAAAATATGGTAACTGCAATTATGAAATAAGTTTAAAAGTAAGACAAATATGTAATGATGATAACAATTATTTAAATACTATTGATACATACTTTTAAGGTGCTAAGTTTCTTTTGTAGCCTCTGTAGAATACGACATTGCCAAGTAGGGCTTCGCAGGAGATCAAAACAAATTCGTCCAATTATAGAATTTAACCATGACATGGGAAGACCATTTAAAACAGCTTTCTGTTCTTCTGCTTCAATCATAGAATCTATGTGATCCTTGTCATGTTCCTTATCTTTTTCCTTGTCTTTTTCTTTTTCTTTGTCTTTGTCTTTATCTTTATCTTTGTCCCTTTCCTTCTCCTTACTTTTTTTATCATCCTTCAAATAAGAATTATGCTTTGGTCGAGGTGGGTACATTTTGTGCTGTATGACACAACACACAGAACACACAGTTAAGGGAGCTTCCAAAGGGTCAAGAAATTAATATTATCCACTTAAGTCAATCAAGTTAGTACCTCTAGATAATATTGCTGCATGTACCGCAAGTACTCCCCCATGGTAGAGACTGCCTCCTCTGGAGAGAACGATGGAACACCCATTACTAGTATAGGTGTGGGAGCATTATTTTTAAGAGGTGTAAGTGGAAGAGAGTGGACTTCATTTTCTCGAACAGCTTCAGCAAATTTTCTATACCTAAGAATTTTTGTTTTAAAAGTTGATTGACAAGATAAAACTATAGAAAAACTTGAAAAAGGTAATGGCAAGGCCAACGAAAAATTAAACCTGAATACAAAATTTACATACCATTCCTCCTTTTCACGATCTGCTCGAGCAAAAAGATAGATGGAAGTTTGTGATGCCATCTCTGTATTTATTACACAAAACGAGTCATCATCAACATCACTTGCATCTTTTTCAGAATAATCTTAAATTAAAGAAAACATGTTAAATTAGAATATGAGAAAGAAAGCAACAGTAAAAATTATGTAATTTCCTGGGAAAAATGAGTACCTTTATAGACTTTAATACCATCTGCAGAAAGTTTATCACTTTCATCCAAATTATCATTTTTCTGAGCCTTCTTTTTATCTTCACTTGCACCAGACAGAAACTCTAAGGATTCAGCCGAAGTAGAACTTTTAGCATATTTTGCTGTAGTAAGACTAAGATTAGAGCGTGAATGAGTGGAGTCTTTCTCAGAAGTTTTAACACTACGGTTATCATCGTTGAGACTTAAGTCATCTGGGTTGAACGGCTCACATTCATCGCACTTAATGAGACAGATGGGATACTTCTTACTCCATTGTCTAAAACAATTACACATTTTGATAGTAAAATTAAAAGTAATATTTATACTGTATTTGTAACGTAGTAAGAATTTAAATTTGAACAATTTATGGTTTACAGAAAAAAATTACCTTCTTCGAGTAATACCTTCTGGGAGAAGTTTTACCTGCCATCCTTTCAGATCAAATAAGCGTTCATCAGTAAATTGTATGTTACGAATAGGATGTTCATTCCACATGGCACGTTTAGAAACTTTGGTTCTTGTGTGAGACAGTGTGAGACAAGAGCCATCTAATCTCACATGAACTGATTCAGTCATACTTATATGGTATGACTTTGTATCATAAACTCCATTGAGCTCATTCATCCAACCCTGTACAGCATAAAACCACCTCATTAGCTTTCTTGACATACTATAATATGATTAAGACAGATAGATGATCTACCGTGATCTACTTCAATCTCAGATTATCTTACCTGAAAACTGTCTGTGGGTAATATTTCTTTTGCTGCTGGTACTTTCAGAGTTGGCAGGGAACTATAGTCAGGTATTTCAAAAGGTTTGCTACCCATATGCATACTAGCAATTTCAGCACTTGGACCTAAGAGTGTATGTCTCTCTTCTTGAAAGCTAAGAACTAAAAGAATACCTACAACAATATAAGCCAAAGCCGATGGCAAAGAGAGAGTCCAATGGATACCCAATATGCAAGAGAGGATAATAATATATCTGCAATAAGGAATTTTAGAAAAAGAAATTTATAAATAAAGCAAGAATAGTCCCTGATGCAATTTAAGAGCAAAATAAAATCTTACTTGTGGCCTAAAAGAAAACATTGCAAGGTTCCATCACTGTTCTGACCTCTTCCTCCATGAATGTTACTAAGACTATCGCCCAAAGGTGTTGATGGAGGCCTTGGAATACAACTTGCATCTTCCCATGGCTCCTCAAGAGCTTCCACACCAGACTCAACATCATCATCAGTCTCGTCTCCATTAACAGAGTAAAGAGCGCTGGAAGTAAAGAAGCATTTAAACAATATAGCAAAGTAGTTAATTTTTCAATTCAGCTCCACATGAAAATGACAATTCTCTGACCTGCTTAAAGATGAATTTGAGCGGGAGTCAACACTTATTTTTTTTCTGCGATTTCGAAGTTCTGCCATTTTTGGTCGAAAACGAGATCGCAGTGACGTACAACGTTTTTGAGAAGATACAGGAGAGCTCTCAAGAACCAAAGGAACAGAGCCTGTCAGAGGAAATAAAGACATCAAAAGAGAAATTCAATTGATGTTAACAAATAAATCTCTTGATTAATATTGGTTAAGAAACAAGAAATTATCAGTGCTTTACCTGCACGGTTGGACTTTGTGGTATTTTTTTCATCTGGGCTTTTCACTGGTGTGGTAGGTCGAGAGGACTTCATCTTTTCTTCTTCATTGTGGCGGTCACCAAGAAACTTATAATGCCACTTTCCACTTGACTGACTACTCTTTTGATTAAGAGGTACAGTAGAAGGGGTGGTTGGAGTGGTGGATAAACTTGACATTCCTGATATTCCGCTAAGTTGTGATACTGAATCTGATGTAGACAAGTTATAGCTGGGTAATTGATTGGATTCTGACGATGAAGCTTCCTCTGAGTCACTAAAACTTGTATTATCCTTCTGCGATGAATTTAGTTTCGGTGCTTCACTTCCTGGTTAGAATTAATCATATGAAGTAAAACAATTTTTACTTTAAAAAGTTTAATAATGGGATTTTATACCAAAATCACTTACTCTGACGCTCACTTTTCATCTCTTCAACTGTACGGACAATTTTTCCTCTTATGTCGGTGAAAAGACCCCAGCCACTGTTATGCCCTGAAATCAAAGCTGGCGCATCTACTCCATCCATACTGGTTGATCGCTTGTTGAGACTACCCGTGCTAAGGCTCGTATGTACAGGTGAAACATCTCCAGATGATGCCACTCCACTGTGAGGCTTAGAGGGTGAACGTCCATGCTTAGGAGTACGTGGTGGAGCAACTGGTGGTGACACAGTCAAAGTATCTATAATGAAAAGAGAAATCTAAATCAGTGTTCCTCTTTTTTTTAATCTGTATATTATGTGTAGTTGGTTGCCATACCATTTAGAACAGATTCCTCTTTCTCAAGGTTTTCTTCTTCTTCTATTTCTGGATAAATTTGCTCTATTTCATCCTCTCCAGCATGGAAACGAAAAGTTGGAACAGATGTAGACATTGGTTTGCCTAAAATTGAAGAAAACCAATTAAATGAAAGTTGGTTAAAAAAAATAAAAACACAATGACATTATTTAGATAGGTACACAAAATACCTTCCACAGAAAGCAAAGCAAGGGGGATTTCAGAAGAACACTTAGGCCATAAAATGGTATTCATGCAAAAGGAATGGTTAAAAATTTATCACAGTAATATCAGAAACATGGAAATGAAAGGAGAGGATAATATAGACAGGAAACAAATGCAGTCAGCATTTAACGGCATTAAAGTGAAATCACACAAATCATAAAGCTGGTCAAAACTTTCAACATTTTTTTGTGTTTTAGAAAATAATTAACACCTAATTTTACTAAAGGATACTTGAACAAAAGGAAAAACAAGCTAAAATTACTGCGATCATAAAGCTGTATTGAACTATTTTAGATTTGTGGATATTACCTTTCAGCATGCCTAAAGAGACTTTGCTAACAGTACGCTTCCGGTCACTCATATTGACCAATTAGTATCTAAGCATGAAAACTAAGTGTGATGATAGTCACTGCCAGCATTAGTAGCAGGGTAACAAACGGTGCACCAATAAGGCACTGTGATGTCCACGAACGTCCTGTCCTAGGATGAGCTCGTAATCCACACCTAATTCCCACAACAGAGAAACAAGGAAGTTTTCACCAAGGAGATAGTTAAAGGTTGGGTGTAGGTTATAGTAAGCATTCACCAAACCAGGAAAAATTAGAAAAATTATAGAGGAGAAAAGACACAGAACATTTGTTTTACCCCAATTCAAATCAGGAGACTTTTAAAAGGGGAGGTATGATTAATGTACAAACTGATGCTATGTATTGTTCACCATGCATTACAAATGGTAAGAGGTGCTTGGTGTGAATCAATTTTGAACAATAGCAAGTTCTTACTGTGAGATTTAGAATGCTCCATAGCTTATACAGCTAAGCAACTTCTTGGACACTTTATCTGTAAAAAAGAGAATAGAACTCTAAGGTCAAAGCAGTCATAGTGCATTTCTAAAAGATGTTATCCATCATAATGATTCAACCATTGATTATTTGACAGCACAAGTAGAAGAAATCATAACATTGACATAGGTTAGAAGTTTAAAACATCCCAATATGAGACAAACAATTCCAGTTATAACCTTAATTATTTACGGTAACAATGGGTTAAAACCAGGTAGACATTCAATAGAAAAGTGTGGTAACGAGGAAAAAAATAAATATGGAAAAGTCATCTTGTGCAATCATAATCAACAAAGATAAGAATACATCCTAACTAATATACTCCACACAATGGAGATGGAGATCATTGCGTGTTCGTTATAGCTTTTATAGTGCGCTAAAAGACTCACCTTTCTGATGAGAGTTGAAGTGCGTCGTGCTATGATCACTTGGACTCATATCTTTAGTGAGTCCACCTGTCAGGAAATGTACTTGAAGCTCGCTGCAGATTTAGGTATTTTCTGCGGCTGCCCAAGAACGACGTGATTATGTAGCAGAACCCTGGCAGAACGCACAACAAAGCAGAAGCGAATAGTTTGAAGATGACTATTGGCAGTCACGACAACTGCCGATAAGCGATGTGTGTACACGCAAATTTTTCATTAACTTTGAGCAAAATTTACAAAACCAACAAAACTAAATTGGTATTTAATTTTTTTTAAAAAAGGAAAGAATTAAGTCTACTGCTGATTTTGATTTTAGAAAACTTACAGCTGAGACTGGCTTAGGTGAAAAATTAACGGAGTAAAACACAGTAGTATCAAAAAAGAAAGAATTTTATTACGTTGACAATTTGGAGGGCTATAAATTATAAAATAAAAATTTCCGGGCCAAGATCAATGTATAGCTCACATAATACAAAATTAAACAATAAAAGAAATAGCAAGGTATACAAAAAAAAAGAAGATAAAATGACAGAAGAAAAAGTCAGTTACATTAATATTGAAAAATGTTATTGCTTCATAATCCCTGGGTCCATGGATTTTCCGAAGATCCAATGAAAGTTATTGCTTCATTGTGAGTCTGCAAATCTGAAAACACATAAACACAGAGAACATGATATAACATTTGAATGAAAGAACACCATTTTACTTGGCTCACAAAATTCTGACACACCAGCACACAACCCAAGGAGGAATTGGAGCACTGACTGTCAGCATGACGTCAAACATGGTCCCATATTTTGACGTCTTCCATGACTGTTTATGATGTCATCGTGAATCTGATTTGACTCAAAATATCAAATCACAGTCCAAATGACATCAAGAAGAGTCATGGAAGACGTCAAAATAAGGGACCATTTTGACATCATGCTGACAGTCAGTGCTCAAATTCCTTCTTGGGAAAGGACCTGGAGACATTCACCCTTCTTCTAGTTTGTTCATAATAAGCAATATGGTTACCCGAGTGCCAGCCCGAGTGAGTGATCTTTGTGCGCAGCTGTAGCACTGGGTTCAGCAATTAAGGGCCAGGGACTCTTCAACAGCAGACCTTCACGCATCATAATGATGCTAACAATGAGACCTGAGGTCCATAAAATGGACTGCAAGTGTGTCAGAAATTCGTGAAGCAACTAAACAACTTTGACTAACTCACCAAAGTTTTCAGCTAGATGGGGGGGCACTATGATGTATGACTCGGCTTCAATGAGATTTTTGTCCAGCACTTGACCATACACATCAATAAGCCCATCCAAAGGCTCATCAAGGGGATTTTGAAATTGTACTCTAACATTACAATGGTCTCCAGTGTTAACTTCTACCATGTTGCTGGTATTCTGAAAGGAAAGAGAAAGACAGTCTATTAACAAGGATTAATACATAGCACTTACGAAGCGACAAACGATTGGGGGAGGAGGAAATTGATAATCTCATCATTTGAAGGAAGAATTGACAAAATGTAGCCAAATGTTCGAGTAAGTCGAATTGACAACTTCAATACCACACCTTTACAACAGTTCCAATTAACCTAACATTCTTCTTTTGGAACCGCGGATTGAGGAGCATTGCTGCAGTTACGCTGGTCCTTGGGGTGCCATACTTTTCGTTTGCCATGATGGTTTAGGCGATTCGGTTTACCAAGTATTCTGAGCGTAACAAATAAGATAACCGGGAATTACTAAACAACGCAACACAGCAGTTGACGGGGACGGCGGATCTTTGTGTGTTTGTGTCGTTTGTGTAACAATGTGTGAAGCGCGCGAAGCAATCATGATAAGAAACGTGACGAAACGAATGATGTTGAGATAAGTTGACAAGTTTACAAAACATCAATATAGCTAGACCTGAATGTTACTTTTTATACAATTCAACTATGACAAAACTTTTGGCGGGGTAGATTTATTCTACGTCAACAACTGTTTCATCTGGGTTATTTTTAACATTACGTTGGTACATCTATGCAGAATTAGGAGTCGTTTTTCTTTCATTCGAAAGGGCGTCCTAACCTTAAACAAAAACAAAAAAACAAACGAAAACGACAGGCAGACGTCAGTTTCTCCGGTAATGGGAGTCATCCAGTGGTTGCTGCATTGATAATCGACAACAAACCCCTTTTAGTACATCTTTCCCCAATCTTTTATCGTACTCAAAACAAATAAAAGCAATGAGTGAACTCGTGTGGGGAATAAAGAACGGCGACATGGACCAGGTTAAGGATATAGTTGATAATAAGGTGAGTGGTCAACAGACGTAAATAAAGGTATCGTTTTTGCCGATACGGTTGAGCGATTATTGAACGTGTGCTATTCCTTACTTAGAATATTACTGTAACAGTTAGCACTTTATTTTAGAGGTCTAAGAAAAAAATCTAAAGGTAGATCAAACTTTACCAATATGTTACTAATTGCTTAACTCAAGTTGTGGTACTTGTTCCTATGAGGTAATGATGTGACTTTTACACTGTTTATTGCCGTTATACTAGGAAAATTCTATGCCTAAGAACAAATAGCTATCATATTTTATTTTTAATTAGATTGTTATGATGCCTCTGTCTTATTTCCTTTTCAGGAAATTGACGTGAACAAAGACATTGATGGAAGAGCCCCCATTCACTACGCTGCTGACTACGGCCAAGAAGATGTGATTCGATATCTAGTTTCCAAAGGAGCTGATGTCAATGTAAACCTTGCTCTCATGCGTCTTATTTTGTGTCCAAACTACACTGTAACTTTGAAATATTTTGTATTTCAGGCCAAAGACAAGCATGGAATCAGTGTCCTTCTGGCTGCAGTTTGGGAAGGTCATACCAGTTGCGTTAAGCTACTTCTGGAAAAGGTTTGCTATCTTTCAATTTAAAATTCAATGAATTTACCAAATATATTGACCCTTGACTTAACAAAATCTTTCTTGAACAGGGTGCTTCAAAGGAAGGCACAACCCCTGATGGAACTACTTATTACAATGCAGCTGAAAAGGAAGAAATCAAGCAGCTTTTAAAGTAGTCTGCTGTCACATTTACTTTTTATGTCCTATTCTCAAATATAATCATTGATATTTAATGTGCGTTTTTAGATGTATGAGTGTTTAAGAGTGTGCCAAGCAAAAAGCAATGTGATATTCTCCCAAAATCTAAATTTTTATTCACCTAGATTAAATGGAATATAATTCTTCCTCTCAGAAATACTCATCTAGCACTTAGGCATATCAAAGAAGAACAATCTATAATTTTCACTAAACTGCATAGGACTTTACTGTAATACATAAAGAGAATTTTAATGCCATTGTTTTTTGCATTGCTTTTTGTTCAGGCTTCTTGTTTAAACCTGCTTAGTTCATTATTGAATTATGGTTTAAGAATCTTTCATTGTTGTTAGCTTTGCACTTGTGGTAACCAATAATATTTGGATTTTGAGGCAAATTGGAATTGGACCGATCTCTGCATATTGTTGAATTGGTTTGTGAGAGATTCTGCAACATAATTTTCAGCAACAGTTATTTCTAAGGTGCTTTAATCTAATCTTGGCAGTCTCATCAGAGGATTGGTGTTTTGTTTTTTTCATCTCATTTATCACCTTCTTTCCAATATCAGTTTGATCATATAACCCTGATGTAATTATTAATTAGATACATAAAAGAAAGGTCAACTAAAATAAGTAATCCTTCTGTTTTTCTTAGTATTTTTGCAATCAAGTATTTCCCCATGTTAAAGGGGTGTCAAAAGTCTCAAAATTAGGTGTTTCAAACCTTGCATTTCTCATATTTAAATCTCTTCTACTAGTCATCCACTGTGATGTCTCATCTCTGTACACTACCTGAAAGTTACTGGCGCCCCATTTGGTCTTCGAAATGACTTATTAACTAAAGTTTTGTCGTGAGTATTGTCTGTTGAAATTTGTTCATTTCACTGTATATTGTATTGAGGCCACAAATTTTAATTGACCATCTTTCATGAAAGAAAATTTTGCATTGCCTCTACACTAATGGAATGTTGTCAGGTAGGCTTCTCTTGGCAAATCTACTCTAACAGTTCTTTGTAGCCCTCCTTTTGTATTGTGTAATTTTCTTTATGATCTCTTTTAAGAGCATAAGTATTGGTAAACAAGAGAGACTTCAGACAACTATATTGTGATAAGTTTTTTTAATTTTGTGCGACTGAAATTAAGTTCCAATAAAATATTTATGTAGCTGTAGCTTGTCATACACTCACTTCACTCATGCACTACTTTTCTACTGCCAAAAATGCTGACTTTGCTGTAAGATGAAAGACCACTGGACACTATGTGTAGGAATGAAATGAAAATGAATGTTCTTTGGCCTTGTGTAATGTGCTGTGGCTGGTCATGATCAATGCTGATTGGACACAATGTTCAAAAAGGAATAACTTTTCCTTTTCTAGAAAACTTGTTTAATTACTTTGGCGTAATTGTAATATACAATACCTTAACTTTATTGTTTAATAACATGCAGTCATTGACTAAGATATCAGTCCGGTTTCACAAAAAAAATTATACGTTCGCAAATTTTTAACCACTTTTCATGTCAGAACCTTATAATAAAGAGAAAGGTTATAAACTTAAATTGGTGTATCTTAACTTAAAAATTAAGTTGGGTAACATGCTTGTCAACTTTAAAAATCTATAGTCTATCAATAACACTTGAGCATTTTTCTGTGATTAGCTATGTCTTGAGATGACAGGCCGATCTTCTGGCACAACTGGGATAACATACGTACATCTCCAAGAGCATCATGGGCAGCATTTGTGTTAATTTTATATTCTGCAGCCAAGTCAACTTGCTTAAAAGAAAGTCTTCTTTTAACTCGGTGCGGTAGCTTAGCTTTAAAAACTTGAATAGTGTCAACACAGCCAGTGACAATTGACTGTAGCTCTTGAAGAAGGCCAAGCCGTTTTATATCTCTAACGAGAAGGGGGAAATCAAACCTGCAACATTACATGATGGTTAGGGTTAACAGTAAAGTGCATTGGATAAGGAATTTTCCCATATCAGTACAACTTACCAGTGGGCATTATGGCCCATAAGAATCACATGGTCTAGACTTTTTAAAAATTCTAAGAAGCCTTTCCAGGCAACAAGTTTGTCCTGGGTTTCAACAACTTGACCATTTTTGCAGAGTTTTCCTTGAACAACTGTTAAGCCATTGATTCTGCTAGCATCTGGAGGAATGCCATTTAAAGGTTTGATGTATACATTGAAGTGCTTTGGCCCAGACATTGCGGCAATCTGAAAAAAATAAAAATAAAATGTACAAGTTGAAAGTTGTTACTAAACTAGACATTTGATGGTAGATTTAGTCACATACCTGCACAATTTCACACATAGTCTTATCCAATCCTGTGGTCTCCAAATCAAAAAATACTACTCTACTTGTTTTCTGAACAACTGGCTTACTAGCTTGAAGAGCAGGTTTGATATTTGGTTTTACAGCAGCGGATGGCTTATCTGATGGTCTTGAAATAATGGGTGCAGATGTAACTGTAGGTGCAGGCTGAAACGAAGGTGAAGGTGCAGGTGCAGGTGAAAGTGGAATTGAAGGTGCAGGTTCTGGTTCTGGTTCTGGTTGGGCTAGTAATGTTGAGGGTTGATTGACTGTTGGGGATTCAACTTTTCCTTCATCATCTTTAACAGTATTCTCTGGAGTAACTGATACAGGAAAGTTAGGGCCACCCAACATCTTCAGAAATTCTTCATTTCCCTCAGGGACCATTGGGGATGATTCCCCTGATCCAGACCCAACTCCCTCATCTACATCCATTTTCTCATCTTCATTTGTGATATCGGATGAAGGCATCCCAAATCCATTTGAAACAACAGGCTGGTCCTCTTGAATCGGGTTTAATACTAGAAAGGAAGAAAAATCATTTTAAAGCAGTTACAAAAATGAATATACTAAACTCAAAACACAAGGTGTTTTCATTTGATCCAACTTACTACTTATCACTTGAAGACTTTTTCCATCTATATTAATATTTTCCAAGTTACTCCACTGTAAATGGCAGTTTGCTGAAGGCTCAAACTGTTTGAATTGTAAGAAAATGTTGCATTAGCACTGGTAATACAAATGAGACTGAGTAAGTAACCAAAAAATTATTACCTCCAAAACAGCTATAGCATCCCGGTGAAGGATTTGACACGACAAGAATGTATCTTTAATGGAACTTGCTTGAGCCTCCATGGCATCCAGAAGCAAGTGGGCAAATTCCATCTAAAGAGGGAAATGATTAATGAAACGAGACAAAGACTTTCAGTGTAATTAAATTAAGAAGGGAGTAAAAGGAAGTAGTACCTCGTCAATTCCCAGTGGGATATTAGTAATCTTTACCACTGTAGCAGTCATCCTTGCCAACTAGTGGGCACACCTGGAACAATTCACGTAAACAAAACTACAACAACCCATTCAGCTATAAAAAGACAATCCATCTGCAGTGATTGAAAAGGAGAGTAAATATAAAGGGAAGTATTTATAGTACCTGCAATAAACTAATTGAAAACGGCTGTCTCTCTCTCTCTCCTGGCTGTAAATACGGGCTTGGATTAGATAAAATAAAATCTCAAGTATGGGAAACTAGATGCGATTATAAAGATAACTTATTCATTCCTCTTCTTTATTTTTTAAATGGTATTACCTACATTCGATGAAAATAAAGTAGTAAACAGCAACAAGTAAAGAGAGGTTATATTCCCTACATGCTCATAATTTATAAATCACACAGCCGGGTAAATCGGAATCGTGTGTTAAATTTATCGCCCTATTGGTTCACCTAAAAATAGAAGCAATAGAAAATCCAGAAGCACTCAAAAAGTGAAAAATCCAGGGAACCATAACAACTACACAACGAACAATAACAAATAAGAACGCCGGCTGATGTATGATGGGTATGCGGGAGATGCGGGAACTCGGAACTCGGAAGTGGAGTGAAACATGCAGGGCGCAGGCGCACACAGTCGCCTTGTTGTCAGATTGCCTCCAACGTTTGGCCGGAGAGGCGCGCGAAATGTGATCAGCCAAAAACCCAAGTGCGAAATCGTATGGCGAAATCAGAGGAATCTGGCGAAATGATTAAAATTAAAAAGAGTATTTCTTGACTTTTCTTTTATTTATTCTCCACAGTGTCAACAATTTCAATAAATGTAAGAAATAATTAGAAACTAATAATACTACACCATAAATAATTATAACGAGACATAAGTATCACATTATCACGAGTTGACTTAAAAGAACCAGTAGGCCAAAGGAGCCCCTTTTATTCATTTTTCGGTCCACCCGAAACTCTCGCGTGGCGGAGCGGAGGTAGCATTCCCAGTTCATGAACCCCGAACTTGAGTTTACCCTCGTCGGCAGCTCTGCAGCTACGGACGGAGAGCGGGGAAAGCGAACAAACGACACCATTCATCACTGAATCGATGTTCAGCTTATCTAAAGGGGTGGCCCCCATCAGTAAAGTAAAACTTAATCTGACAACCTTAAAACTACAAAAATCAGTCGAAGTGTAGAACCCGGCTTTGAGAATAAAGCCTGGGTGCATGGCAAGAGGAAAAAGGGGGGGGGGGTGACTCCCTTCACGAATAAGGTGCCGTAATAGATCGATCAGGATCGATGGATCAACCGCGAGGCAGAGCGCCGTTGTCCTCCTTGATCATGTCGGCGGCCTTTTCGGCGATCATGTACGTGGGCACGTTGGTGTGTGCGGCGGGGATCATGGGCATGACGGAGGCATCGACCACGCGCAGCCGGCGCACGCCCTGCACGCGCAGCCGCGGGTCCAGCACGGCCAGGGGGTCGCCCTTGCGGCCCATGCGGCACGTGCCGGACTGGTGGTAGATGGTGAAGGGGAAGTGGCGTATGTGGCAGCGCCAGTAGTCGCGCGTGCCGAAGGCGTGCTGCTTGCAGGCGGGCACGGGCTCGTCGTTCAGCCGCGAGGCGTAGCGCTGGAAGGCGCGCGTGCCCGACAGGCGCACGGCCTCGAGCACGCCGTCGACCAGCGTGTCCAGGTCCTCGGGGTGGTCGAAGTAGTTGTGGTAGATGAGTGGCTTCCGCAGCGGGTTGCGATCGCGCAGCATGACGCGGCCCTTGCTCTTGGGCCGCATCAGCATCGGCAGCGGCATCCACGAGTCCATCTGCTCCACGCCGCCGAACACCTGGGGACAGAGACGGTCGCGGGTCAGGGTCAGGGTTGGCGGCGTCCTCAGCCTCAGGTGGACCTGCCGGGCGGCATGCCTTTACGGCCCGTACCTGCTTGTAGAGCTTTCGGTCCAGCCCGAAGCCGTCCTGGAAGGTGACGTCGGAGGTGATGGAGCCGCTGACGAACAGCATCTCGAGGTCGGGCCAGCCCATCTTGTTGCCGTCCAGCGCGAGGAAGGCCAGCGCCTCGCAGCCGCCGGGGATGGACAGCGGGCCGGAGCGGTGCGAGAAGTAGTCGGCCAGGTCCTTCACGGAGGACGTGACGCGCTCCGTCCTGCGAACAAGGTACTGTCACGACAGAGTCACGCGGCGGCGCACCGCGGGGACCGCGGGCGGGCCGTGGCGTGCATGGACCCCGCGACCCCCGCCCCGCGCCCCGCGCCCGGCCCGGCCGCGCCGCGTCCAGGTTCAAGTTCGGCATGGCCTAGCGTGAGTTGGCGTTGCGTCCGCCACATGAAGGCCCGGCGGCGGTGGCCCAGCCGCCGGCGCCGCCGGGCCATGGTCAAGGCCCCCGCCGACTAGTCCAAGGCAGTCCAAGGCGCCGCCATCCGCGCCAAGGCGTGGCGTGGCCGGCGTGGGGCCGCTCGCTTCCACGGCAGCTCATCCGCACGCAGGGCAGGATCCGCTGGATTCACCTCCCCTCTTATCTTTCTCAATAATTTCGCCGCCGCCCGCCGTCGGCCGCTGGACTTCGCGCGCGGCTACGCGAAGTCATGCTGCGCGCGATCCATGCATATGGCTGGCTGCACTTGCTAGTTACGCCACTCGCCGGCAGAGGGGCTGGCGAGCCTCCCTAATAAAGTTGCACTAAGTGATTCACCGCGAGTGCCTGCCGTTAGTACAGTAGACTACTTTCGCTACACCCCGCGCCCCCTGCCCCCGCTGGTCTCCAGGCGACCACAGTCGTGTCAAAGGTTGCGTAATACGGCGACTCTCGGCGGCTTAGTGCGCTAGACGGAGAGGGGGGGGGGGCATGCAAAGAGGGAAGGCCAGCGAGTGGCGCTCAGTCCAAGAGTGGACGAGGGGCGCACAATTATTGCTCACCTGATGGAGACGGTGTCGTTAACGGTGAAGATGACCGCGCCCGCGGAGACATGGTCCATGAGGTTGTACCCCACGGGCAGGTCAGCGACCACGGGAATACCCACGTCCTGGAGGAATCGGAATGGAAATACACAAATCGGTTATAATGCGTTCTGCAGAAACGAACGCGTCAACAACAATAAGCACGTATGGAATAAATGCCGCAGTACACAATCATTTTCTGTGACACCGGATGTTTTGCGGTTATTTGTCTCGTGGATCCCGCGCTTAAACCGCAAAACATATTGGATGAAGGACTCGCCCGGGATTTCCCACTCCGGGTCCGCCTCGTGTGCAGAGAAGGAAGGGGAAAGCGGGACTGAAGTATTTGGGTTGGGTTTTGTCCGTCAATCAGCGAAGCTACTTTTCCGTGTGAACTCTGTGCGCGACCAGTCATTTTCTTCAAGGAAGGCACTTTTGTGGAGAGTGACCCACAGGAGTGACGCCATTCATGTACACTGCTGTGTGCTCCCGGAAGTACAGAGAACAACACCACTCCACCTTAACCCACCACCATTCACGGGGATTTACAATCGTTCAAACAGGTTCAAAGTAGACCCCCTCCCCCATTCCCTCTGAACCCGTCTCCGGACTGGCATCGAGGAAAAATGAGCTGGCTTCCAAAAGGGCGTTGAACCCCCCCTGCCTGTTCAGCGCGGCTCCCCGGCCTTGACCGAGCCCGTCTGCCGCCGTCCTTACCTGGAGGTGTTCCCGGGGCCCGATGCCGGACAGCATGAGGAGGTGCGGCGAGTTGATGGCGCCCGCGGACACGACCACCTCGCGCCGGACTCGCACCGTGTAGCGCCGGCCGGCGCGCACCAGCTCCACGCCCTGCGCCTCGCCGCCCTCCGTCAGCACCTTGGTCACCATGGTGTTCTTGAGCACGTGCAGCGTGCCGGCGCCGCGTCGCTGGCGCAGCCGGGACAAGTAGGCCCTGTTGGAGCTCCAGCGGCTGCCGTTCTGCATCGTCACCTGCGAGGCGGACACAGAGCATGAGCACGAGTACGTGACACACGGCGTGACATGCGTGACATGGGCCGGCATGGCACCCCGCGATGCCCTCCCCATGGATACCGGTTCTCCTTGATTTGCTCCTCAGCGCCGTGCCCATGTCTCCTGGCGCCTTGTCGCCTCACCGTCGCGGCCCGGCGACGGCGCGCGACAGACCCTCCCCGCCAGAGAGACCCGGACCCGGCTCCGGTAGAATTGCAGATTTATTTAATGGCCTCTCCCACGGACCCGTACTTACTCGCCCCAATCACCGGGTCGCCGGGCGGCTCACCTGCAGGGGTGACACGCCGAGCTGCTGGGCGCCGTTGTAGTCCACCTCCGGGTACCCGGTCTCCTTGTACGCGTCGATGAAGGCGCGGCCCAGCGGCGTGTGCCACGGCAGGTGCGTCACGCTCACGGGGCCGCCGACGTTGTGCCAGTCGCGGTCCCCGCGGAGCTCGGGGTCCTGGAACATGCGGGGCGCAGGGTTGTGGCTGTTGAGTCATTCCGAGGAGTGCGAGCTGGACGGTGCTCGCTATCGGGGTGGAGCCGCACGGTCCTGCCAGCGCCCGCCATTACAGGAGCGCGTCCCCTGCAATTTGAATACTGTGCGCACCGCACGCGTGGGGGCTGTGGGCCGAGCAGGACCGGGCCTGGGGGACGCGGTGCCTAGAGTGGGCTTGAGTGGTTGCCCGTGACGTCTCTCGAAACGCTCATGTTCGGTTTGTCTAGCCCCCACATCGCGAGACCGGAACCGACCCGCCCCGCGCCGCTCCGCTCCGCATGGCACTGTATGGCCGGGCCGAGGCAGTCGAAAGGTCAGCGGCCGAGGAGCACACAGGGGCGGGGTGGGCGACAGTCCTCGCCGCGGGGGGCGGGGGGCGGTCAGGATAATGTCGATCTGGGGGATGGTTGGTGAGGGATGTTGCGATGGCTGCAGCAGTGCGCTCGGCCTGTCCCGTACGTACCAGCATGTTCTCTAACTTCTTGAAGTACGGCAGCACGTCCTTGAAGCCCCAGCCCTCGCTGCCCATCCGCTCCCAGTTGTTGTAGTCCTCTGGGTGGCCGCGGTTGTAGATCATGTAGTTGAGCACGCTCGAGCCGCCCATCACCTGCGGGGGGAAACACGGAAACGCAAAAGAGAATATTAGTAGTAGCAAGAAAAATAAATGCACGCCGCACGCACTTCGTGCACTCGTGTGTGTGTTTGAACAGAGCTCTCTGCGAGCGGGCTCCGCCGACTCCACCCGTGTGGACGCAAAGCGGCTCAGCGCTCAGCGGCACCGTGCAATCGGGTAATCAACGCCAAACTATAACTGTTGCCTCCACTTTGCGTCGCTTTGCGTACGGACGGGACGGCCGCCGCCGGGCCGGGGCCGAGCCCCCGCATGCGAAAGATATCGTGGATATCGTTGCGCCAGCCGATAATTTGAGGGGCGAATCATTTTTTTTAGCTTTGGCTGCGTACGGTGCGATGGACCGCAGCAGTCTACTTACTCTACTTTTAAAAGCAGACCTGTGTCGGGAGGGCCAGGCGGAGCCAGGCCACCTACATCTTAACGACAAGTCCACTACAAGGATGCGTCAATGCTAAACACGGGTGAGCGTCAAGCCGTTCAACTCGATGACGTTGGGGGAGCCTTCATGCAAAAAGAGTAATTGGGGACTTTTTATTATCTGGCCCTGGCCAGTGCAACATTTAATTACCAGTCGTTAAAGACGGACAATTAGCTTGCGGATGAACCAGCATTTTTAGATGTGATCCCTACTACAAGACTGGACTACGTGCCCACCTGTCGACAGACAATAAGAACGCCACGGCCTCCGGCCTGGACCCGCTCCGCCCCTGAGCAGGGTGCAGCACGCTGTAAGGTGGTTGACTCACGCCACGGACTTTCGTAGTTATACTGTACCGCATGCACGCGCGTGGGCGGGTTGCCTACTCGTACGGGGCCATGAGGAGCCGAAGCCAGCGAGGCTAGGCAAACCCGCCCGCCTGCGTGCATGCGGTACAGTATAACGACGATAGAGCGCCGCGTGAGTCAGCCACCTGGTACCATGCTGGTACGTACCTTGCCGCGGGGGTAGTTGCAGCGTCGGCCGGACATGCCGAGGCAGGCCGTCTTGGAGGGCTGGGTGCGGTACTTCCAGTTGACGTTGCTAAACTGCAGCATGTTGGCCACGATGGGGATGTCCATGGCGAAGTGCTCCCGGCCGCCGGCCTCGACGAGCAGCACGCTCCAGCCGGGCACCTCGCTGAGGCGCGCCGCCACGGCGCAGCCGGCCGTGCCCGCGCCCACCACCACGAAGTCGTACTGCGGCAGCGGCAGCCCGTGGTCCGGCGGCTCGTACGGCCCCGCCGTCATCTCCTGCACCAGCGACAGCAGCAGCGACTCGGTCAGGCCTGCGGGGTCAGCGGGACAGGGTCGGGGGTTCAGGCGCTGCAGAAAGGCACGGTGGCGAGAGGAAAGAAAACCCCTGTTTAAAACTTTACATGCACCAACAGCTTATGGGGACACACACAAAAAAACAACACAAAATCAACAAAAAACACCGGTACGGCCCGAATTTAAAAAGAAAAATCAAGACAATGGTGCGGTGTATGGAATGCGTTAATGCGTTGTCAGTGCGGATGACGTTTCAATCAGCCTGATGATCGGCGCGTGCGCGGTGTCCTCCGCCCGATGTCCCGCCTTTGACGTTTGAGAAGTTCAAAATCCATTCTCAAGGCAGGTGAAAAATGGCACGCCAATGGTGATAGCCTCGTAACGGCCGATCAGCTGAGGATGTGATGGTCGGCCCGGGTGCGGCTGCCAAACGGCAGGACGAAGCTTCGTACAATCTATCTCATCTATCTCCAGAAATCTGTATCTCCATACCAGTTGTCCTTTACAATGTTGTTTTATCATACCGGCACTATCCCAAGTGTGGCACAAGGGCGGTAGCCCGGGTCCCACCCCTCAAAAAAAGGAGGAGAAAAAGGTAGGCCGGAAGGTGGGGATTCCCTCTGCACTGCCATTCGTTTAACAGCCTAGAGGCCTTTCTTGGCCAAGCCAAGAAAACCGTGAAATAGCTATTGGATCAGCATATGGTTTCGAGGATTTTCTGTGTGCTTTTTTTAAAATGCCTCATTCACCATTCTTCATTCTTACAAATGTTTGTTGGAGAGAGTCGGATGACATTCCCTTCTATCAGATGCAGGGAAGACCTGCCCAGACCAGTTCCGCTATCGGAAAAAGAAGGGCACGAATAGGGCCCAAATGCGGCGAACGGCACATAGCTCTATGGTCCAAACTCAGACTATTGAGAAGAACACAATTATCACTAACACAGTGCGTGCGTTCAAAGTTGTACGAGTTGCACACCAGTGGCCAGAGGGATCCTTGAGAATTGCACAAACTTGAAGACTGATTTTGAAAAGGCTATCGCCTATCGCATGGAGCCATGGCTATCGAATGCTGTTTATAATGAAATTCGTCGGGTGCAGGTGCAGCTCCTTTTGTAGCCGGATTTCAAATGCAAGTGCATGGAAGTGCCTGCAATGAGTTACCAGGACACCAGCACCGCAAACAGGATAGGAAAGGCAGAACTTGTCCACGCAGTTTGGCCCGCTAGCCCCGCTCACCTTGGCCGTAGACGCAGCGCCCCTGCAGCGCGAGCAGCACAAGCAGCCCCAGCAGGCGTCTGCTGTGCGTCGGGTGGACCATCTTGATGTCAAGAAGGATTGGATTAGACTGCCTCTGGGCCGCGCGCCGGCCGCACCACGCGCCGCCGAGGCAACAACGGCAGCAACAACATGACGCACGTCTCCCCTTCCCCTTCCCTACGGCGACGCCCCCTCCTCCTCTCCTCCGGGCTGCCGGGGCCGCCCGGGGCCGCCCGGGGCCCAACCTCCGGGACACACTCAGGTCGCGGAGTGAGCTCGAGCTCGCGAGCCAAGGTGGCGGCGGCGGCCTGAACCGTTCCGTTGGCGAGGATCAGACCCCATCCCAGCGGGGGAGTCCAGCTGAGCTGGCCTTATGCAGCGCCCAACCGCAGAGAGGAGGGCTTTCCACCGAGGGGGTCGGGTAGAGGCGGGGGCGAGGGTTAGCCCCGCACCCCCTTATCCCCCCTTTCAACTCTCGAGCACTCCTCACACCACACACATCAGCACAAAAAACAACAACAACAACAACAACAACACGCCGGCGTTAATGTTATTCACTGTACCAGGTGGCTGATTAACGCCGCGCACTTTCGTACGTATACTGTACCGCATGCACGCGTGCGAGCGGGTTTGGGTTGCCTAGCCTACGCGCACGCTAATCACAGAATTAAAATTTGCACCGTTGCTAACAAGGTTTAACTGACAAGATGGCAAGATGACAACGACAACTAGCAAGATAGTAAACTTTTGTAAGGTACGAGGAAAATATGATTAGCTGCCCTAGCCAATAACCAGCGCTTTCGGCCAATATGTGAGCTCGTATGGCCTAAGTAATAAAATTAGACCTAGCAAAGCAGCTAATGTTATGTGGACCGAAGCATGTTCAACCGCTTGGAAAGGCGACGAACAATATCCTGCAAGAGCTTACAAACAAGTCGTTTTTGGTGCAAACGTTCTTTCTCACTGGCAGTGAACTTTTCTTCGCCGTCATTATTGATTCTATCTCTAAAGTCGCTAACTGGGGAAGTACCAGTCGTTGCTCGCGTGGAGCTTTCGCCTAAGCAGAAAACTATGCGCCTCTCCGTGCGACCTCATGCGTTTCCTTAGCTAATTCGCAGGATGGCTGGTTCTGCTGTTTCCTGTTCGAACAGATCACATATTTTCATTATGCAAGAAAAATTATTCTTGGCCCAAAGCAAAAAGAATTCTGGTCCGGTTTTTAACGAAAAATTTTCATTTCTGTGGAAAACTCTTTTGTCAGTGAGCTCGCTGAGTGTGGTGGTTCATTAGCAAGAGCTGAGGGGGGGGGGTTACACCGAACGTCAAATTTAAATGTTGTAAAAAAATCTCTGTGGGTGTTATAGTTCACGAACTGAAGGTGGTTTCTAATTATTTACACAATACCAAGCACAATACTCGTGCTTCAGGGATGGAGGTAAGGAATGGGTCAAAGCGAGGGGGCAATAACTCCGGGAATCATGTGTACATCTGCCAGGGAATCATCAAGATAAAAAGTAATCGAAATCAACAGAAATAGTTTAAACTAAGTGGGAAACTAATGAAACTGACACAAATTAGTCGAAGTAAGCGTTTTCTCCAACTAGAAAACCTAAGGAATCAATATGAGTGGACAGGAATCACTGGGGATCGCAAGGAATCAAGTATTTCGGGACATGTGTACACACCAAAAGGGAGTTATTGCCCCCTCGGGTAAAAGAAATTGGCACGGAACTGAATAGTTTTTTGTTTTACTTTAGGGGCGTGAGAACAGTACTGATCCGGCGGGCCATATCCCCTCCATTCGTGCGAGACCTGGACTGACGTCACTCTAATCCTGATCCTTGTTAACGACGCGATATGAATATCATCACATTGGCGGCTTCTGCACGTGAGGCGGCCCACGTGCTCGGCGGGTTGAACCGAGTTAAGTGGATTATTCTATTTAGCGCATAAATTATATTTTTTTGGCCCAACGACGTTTTCACTGTCACGCTCTCCTCGATAATTTTTGTGACCCAAGGTCATGGCGATCAGGTGCCACACGCTAAACGGCTATAAGTGGTGTGTAAAAGACGGAGCTGCATTTGAGCTGTGAGCGAGGAGGGAAAGGAGCGAGTGTGGAGACATTTTCAAACCTTTTACAAGGGATGTGCGACGACTTTATGACAGCAGTGTTCCGCCCCTCAGTCGCGCTCGTCCCGCGCGAATATCCGAACTCTGGTATTGCCTGGGGGCGCATAGGCCGACCCGCGATACACGGGTGACAGTTGGCGGCCTACCCGCAC